TTCTATAAACTTCAAAACCTTTATTTAATAAAAAAACAAATACTGTATTCTATATTAATTTAATATCTGAAATTAACAATTTTAATAAATAAGAATATGGTTCATTTATTCACTAACTATGATTATGTAAAATTAGATATATATATATATATATATATTTATTATGCAGCAAATATGATAACTTGATAATTCTAATTTTAGGTTATGGGATTTAGTATGTTCAAAGTATCAATACTTATTGCATTACTAGGACTGTTTTCAGCAATTATTCAATCTGTCCTTGGCATAATAATGAAAATGATGGGAGCTAAATACACAATAATGATTGGTTTGGTATTTGAAATCATGCAACTTATGTGGTTTGGATTTGGTTCAGAGACTTGGTATGTTAAATATTTGTTATAAATAATTAATTTCATAATTTAATTATCTTACCATTCAACTGAAACTTAAATGASCATATATACATAATTGAAAGTTAAGGTTGGTGGTTTATTAAGATTATTAAAGGCCGTTATAATTCAAATTTGTTTTGGAGACTGAATTTCCCTATAATATTAACTAAAAGAAAATTTTTATACAAAAGTTAAGCCCAATGAATATAATATTGATTCTTATATATTTTAAACAATATCATACAAGAAATAAAAAACACCATAAATAAAAAACTAACTAATAACGAGTTTATAGTGGTCAATAATACAGTTACAACAAACATTACATTTAAATAAATGTATATAATATAGTAAAACCTCATTAATCCAGACTAATTGGGGCTTTAAGATGTCATAATTAGACAAAATAACCAAGAATTGTAAATTATAAATTTATTAAAATGTATTGAATATTTTACTATATTACCAATACTTTAGTCTATAGTTTAGTATATATTATATAACAATATTAAACCTAAAAAATAGTTCATAATTATTAATTGTATTTTAGTCATTTCATACATATATAATATAGTATGTATCAAGGTACACCTTCATTAACGTATTATCCCCTGTCCGGATTAACGAGGTTATACTGTACTTAATATAATTATTCAAATTTGTAAAATAAATATTATACTAAATTATTTTAAGGGTAGGTCGGTAGGACCACACATAGCGGTTGGGCCACTTAACAAATTCAAATTGTTTGATTTTAAATGCAACTATGTGATATGCGGTTCAACCACAGAAATAGTCGGGGCTGAAAAACTGACTGCTATGTGTGGCCCACGGCTAAATTATTTATCCGTATTTTAAGTGGATATACATTTTCTCATTTTATCTTATGACACTCACCACTGCTTATTGTTTATAAGAAATAATCATTTATAYATTAATTTTTAATAGGGTCATGTGGTCTGCCTGTTTTTTGGCTGCCATTTCTAGTGTTACTTATCCTGCTATTAGTTCGTTTATTTCCATTCATTCAGATGCAGATAAGCAAGGTTTAACAATTATTATTTTTATTTTTAAAAGTTAAAATAAAACTAATAAAATTTGATTTTCTATCAAGGTGTGGTTCAAGGAGTGGTAACCGGAGTAAGAGGTCTTTGTGGCGGCTTAGGACCAGCAATGTTTGGATTCATATTTTATTTGTTTGATGTTAATTTGAATGAAGGAATGCAAATAGCACATACTACTCAAAATTCTCTTAATAGTTCAATCATAATTAAACATTTGAAGTACAATATAAATAATAATCCATCTTCTTCGGTAATAACTGTTAACTAAATATGTAAAATTATATTGATATTACTACTCTAATATAATATTTAATATTATATTCTGTATTGTTTATTAATTATTTTTCGTAAATATAGATGATTCCAGGACCACCATTTGTCTTTGGTTCACTTCTGGTTATGTGCGCATTATTAGTCTCCGTTTTTATTCCAGAAAATGTTCCCAATGGTTCTGATCAACGTCATAAACAAATTGGTAAACATAATAACTTGAATTTTTAATAAGATTATTTGATTAAATAAAYATTTTCATTATTATAGTATTAATGACATTTTTATTTTTCAGTTAATATAGTTTTTCTTCTACAGCGTATAAAAAAAAAACCAATACAAATTTTAATTATGTATTAAAAGTGGGGGCTGTTGGTTTATGGGTAAGAGGAACCCATGTATAAATATAAAGAATATTCTTAACTAATATTAAAATATTTAATAATATTTGAAAAATATTTTTATGTAGTCTTCAGCCCACTAAAATATTATTGGGACAAGTCATATATCATATATATATAAATGACCAATCTCTAGGGTTTAATATCAGATAAACATTACAATAACTCTT